TAACACATGTTAAAGGGCATCATTTGCGTGGATTTCTGATATGCAGATATGTATCAATACGATATACCAGTGCAAAATGAAACCCCACTTTACAGGCATTCCCCAAATTATGAAAGGGTTCTGTTTCTGAATAACCTTTCATAAGTAAATTTTTCATAAAACATATCACATTTTTCAAATAAACTTCAACTATAAAAGCTGAGATACATTCCTATGAAAAAATCTCCAAAATGTCTGAAAATGTTACATAACATGCCTTTAATGAAAAGTTTTGGATTACACAATTATTATTAGCCATTAATTAATAAACATACTGTAGAAAGTGATGTACATGCTGTGAAGGATGCAGAAGTTACTGAGAAGCTGCACCACTGGTTGTGATGCAGTGTGATACTGTGAGGCCCAACCAAGACATATGATATTAATTTTGCAATGATGCACCAATAATAAGTCTACTGCACTGTGAATACAGTATATTCCTTTTTGGATTTTTTTTTTCACTGGATTTAATTTCACTAACTTTATCTGAAGAACAAATGCTAAATTTAGCCATTTAACATTACACTGAGACACTTAACACATCACTGCTTCACCTAGCAATCCTGTGAGCCATGATAACTAAAACACTAGTACATTATACCTGTAAGTATTTTTTATTTTTAGCTTAGTTGACCAATCATAATGCAGTACAGTACTGAATGTGGCTTTTAGTTTCAATTGTCTTTTTAAACTAACTAGGTCTGACACAAGAAACCTTAAGATGCCTGTATCAGCACCCCAGGCTCTTATGATGCTGCAAAAATTATGAAAAAACTATAGTAACTATATTTTGTAAATTTGAAATTTTTGTATGTAAATCAAAACGTGAGACATATACTTTTTTTTATGTCTTCAGATTTTTGTACACCACCCCTTCATAAATCAGGGACTGCTGTAATGTGTCCAAAAGGTGTTGGTCATATCTATACTTGTACAAGTTGTACCTCTCTAGTCCGGCAACCTCGGGACCTGACCGGTGCTGGACCATGGAAATTCACCCTTTTCCTGGATAGATAGTGACTTGTGCATTAGGGGGCAGGGAAAAAACACTTTTATTTGAGTTGCAGGCTGCACTTTTCAGGCATCGTTTGTATGGCTGTAACAAACACCTGTGCAAAATTTCATGCCATTTCATGCATACTTACCCTGCCGCATCGCGAACGACTTTTTGTCAACTTTTAGTGTATACCAAAAATTAGGTGTCATTTAATGTTTTCCAGGATAATGATAAATTTTACATGGGTGACATCGATTTAATTCACATGTTATTTTACAGGTACACCGTATAGAAAATCATTACAAGTTCATATTGAAATTCTTTTTTGTGCGGAACCTTGGCATCATTTTCCTAGACAATAATCTTTGCCTAATATATCCATCTCTCGATTCGTATCCCGTCACTTCAGTGCAAGCTTCAGTCATCACTTTTATGCCTCTCTCGACCGCCTGAGTGCTGTTTGGCCACTTGGGCACCACTAATGGTGTCTCAAGAATGTCATTAACCTGTAGATTTGACAGAGAAGCAATGTAAGGAGGCTCAGTCTTGAGTTCATTCCTCCAGTTAATCATGGAATGATAGTTTTTTGCTTGCCACTTTAGTTTCGGAGTCACCACCTTTCTCATGTTGACTACAGGAGGCACATCCTCATTCCCATCTCCATCTTTACCCTCCTCATCAGTATAGTTTAACAAATTCTCGTCAACAGCAGCATCAGAATCTTCCTCCTCCTCTTCAGATCTGCCAGTGCATTCTTCCTTTTGCTGATTCTCCTCTCTAATTTTTCTTATCATTGAGACAGCTTTTTCTCTAACAGTCATGTCCTCATCTGCACACATACCAAGAAGAAGTTGATCTGTGTGGGCGAAGTATGCATTTCTCTGGACAGCCTTCTTCACTATCGTCTCCTCCTCACTATTCAGGTGTTTCATATATAGCAGGGACTGGAATACGTTCCTTGAGCCGTGTGTTACGTAAGGGTGTATCTTGATGTAAAACCACATTGGAGCACTGAACTTTATTATTGTAATGACAATTCTTTTCAACTCATGGCTGGGTCTTGATGTTGCTACATACAGCCTGAGGATTCTACTCCATAAGGTGTTCCACCTTGACACACAGGGAGGACCTGGCTCAATAGCAGCCAAGTCATCTTCAACAACACCTGTGATAACTCCTTTACAAATCCTATACAGGTATTTCTGATCCCAGGACAGATCTTTCTCCACTTCATCATTAAACACAGGGAAATCAGGGAAACTGACTGGCTGGAAGGCGACAACTGGAAGCTCAGACAAAGACTCCTTGATCTGCTTTCCAATGGGACCACGCCAATGCTCAGGACCACTTGGTTTACCATCATAGTGATAAAAAACTGCGCGGAAAGGCAGCTCATTTCCGTGAAGCTGACATATGAAATAATGGAGCGGGTGACCAAGTAACATTTCAAGATGATGAATGACTCCATTTTCTGATCCTACATTTACATTGGTTCCATCACAACCAACACACACAATGGGCTGCTGGGTTAGATTTTTCTCCACCAGAAACTCGTGAATAGTTTTGGCAATCTGCTTTCCGTGTCCAGTCTTGGGAGTCACATGTGTGAGATATTCATTGCCAGGCTCAACCATGATGACATAATGATCTTTCACCATCATCCTCGAACTCCATTTCTCGGTCTTCTCATTCTTTATCATCACACGAGTGGCGGTCTTCTTACCATCAAAATAGAGTGACGTCAAATTATCTAAACTAGCCATCTCAATTTCTTGCCTCTTAAATCGGTATTTTTGTCTCGCATCCCGCAGCTTATGTGGTCCAATAACCTGACTCTTGTCATCCTTTGTGATAATGCCATAGTCAGTTAAGGTGGCAGTAGCAATGGCAGCTCCAGCATAATCACTAATCAAGTATCGGTCACAAGCGGCAACTTACCCAGGTCTCCCCTACATTACAGTACAGTAACACAACATTGAGAAATGAAATGAGAAAAGGCTGATAATCAATATAGACATAGCACCATACTCATCTGCAACAAGACAACTTAAATGAAATAAGAGATATGAAAAAAAGTTGATAAACACTGAACAGAACATTGCACCGCCACAGCGGCTGTTTGGCTAGTACTGTAGGTGAATTTAAAAATTTTAGTAGAAAATGCGGCAGACTAAACCTCGACATATCAGCTTCAAATTTGGCATGGAGTCTTAGATATGTATAAGGAACAATGCCTGAAGAGTGCAGCTTTGAGCAAAATTTCACTGCCCCCTATTGTGCATACACTTGGAAGCACTAGCACCACTGTCACTGCTTCATGGTCTCTTTGAAGACATACTGAAGGGTTAAATGTTGTACAGTAGGTTCTCAAATTTCGCGAGTTTTTAATTCGACGTTTTTTATTTGGACACACAAAAAAAACACTGCACAATTTAAAATTTTGACGGTGAAAACTCGAATTTCGACGCGTTTGAGCGGCCCGCCAACGTTCAGACATGCACAATTGTGTAAACAGCGTCATTTCTCGATGTACAAAAGATTCATTATTGTTTATTACTGAATGTCTTTTTGATTGAATTAATGTTTATGTGTGCAAAATGAGCAATACAATTCATTAATAATACATAGAATATTAAAACACACGAGGAGACGAGACAGCAATGTTTTCGTTGTTTACAAAACCAATGACTGACTGGTTCTCCATATAAAACTAAAGAAAATAAGACCTTGGTTGTAGCTGTAGTAAAACTAATATGGTTGTTTTAAGTAATATTATTAAATGTTAATAAATGGAACAATGGAAGTAGCTAACCATTAATGGTAAAAAAAAATAAGAGAGATCGCGTATGTAAGTGCGCATATGCGAAAACATATTGTCATTACATAAGAATATGAAAGCAACATTTATTTACTGTTCATATATGTTTTAATTAATGTTTCTTTATTTTTTTTTATTGAATTAATGTTTGTGTGTGCAAAATGAACAATACAATTCATTAATAATACGTGGAATATTAAAACACACGATGAGACGAGACGGTATTGTTTTCGTTAATGTTTACAAAACCAGTGACTGATTGGTTCTACATATAAAACTGAAGAAAATAAGACCCTGGTTTTAGTTGTAGTAAACTTAATATGGTTGTTTTAAGTAATGTTATTTAATGTTAATAAATGGAACAATGGAAGTAGCTACCCATTAATGGTGAAAAAAAGTGAGATCACGTAAGTGCGCACATGTGTAAACATATCGTCATTACTCTACATAAGAATATGAAAGCAACACTTATTTACTGTTCATATATATTTTAATTGATGTTTCTGAATTTAAAAAAAAAATTCTACCAACCAGTGGTGGTCAAGTTGAAAACATAAGGACAGCCAATGTTGTTGTGTGTGTTTTTACTTGGATGACGAAGTTGCCAAGCCATCAGGTTCAACTCTAGCTGAAGCTGTAGAACATAAGAACTTTTCTGTGTTGTTTTTAGTTTTTATTTAACTTTATCTGTGTTATTTTCATTGGTTTATTAGGATGTTGCTTTATTACAGGTAGTAATTCGCCAAAAGGGTAGTATAAATAAGGCAAAATTTAGCCAAACATCGAAAGTACCAGACTCAAATTAATTTTCTCCTTGGGCAAACTAAAATCGTTTCGGACCACGAGAGTTTCCGGACCACAGAATGCCGGACTAGAGAGGCACAACCTGTACCACTAAGAGGGGTTGTTTGGCAGCTGTTTAGATTGTTGTTGACAACTGTGCTAATACTGGTTTAATTTTCTGGTAAAACAATTTTACAGGCATCTTCAACTGTATACTGTACACCCTTTTCTATCCCGATGTGTGCATGCTTGTGTATCAGTATACTTTTTTTTAAATGTTAATATTTCCTAATGCCAAAACTGTTCTGTCTAACATTACTTGTACATCATCAGCTACAGTGAAGACAACATTCATTTAAATACCTTTCTTTTCAATCATCTTAGTATCGAAAAAGTCAAAGAGAGAAGCAGGTCCAGATGGCCGGGGCATACTAGGTGGAGGTTCAAAGTCATCGTCGCTATCATCTGGTCCTCCTCCTCCTCTCCCTCGCCCTCGACCTCTACCTCGCCCTCGTCCACCTCGGCCTCGACGTCCACTATAGCCATCATCATCATCATGGTTGTAGCTGTTACGTTCAGATGGAGGAGGTTGACCACTAGCTGCCTGCCAGAAAGATAAATAATGAATTGATCTTGTAAAATCTATTAAATGGCTTTTCCTCTAAACTCCTAGCTTGACCCCAGTAGGTAGTAGATAGTAAGGAGCTACCAAACAGGGAGGTACTACTGCCTGTGAAGATATTGGAAGCATAATGTGTTGTCTAATGGTAGACCCTGCTGCCTTATGGCATCACAAAAATTGTGACCAAGTCCCAGGTTACTGATCTGACTTTCTGCCTCATTTACACACAATTGCAGGGTCTCAATTGTTTCTCTTACCGGGTACTTGGAAAACACAACATACAGTACATAATGTATATTGTTTCTCACTCTTGATTTATTTTTTTATTTTTTTATTTATTTATGGTTATTAATTTATTATTATTATTACAGGTTGACAACCCTTTATCCGAAATTCCGAAAACCGAAAAGCTCTGAAAACCGAAAGTTTTTTGTGGGGTAATAATTTTTTTTTTTTTTTTTTTTTTTAAACAGGGATTAGCCCACCCGGGCATAGATCACTGACTCACATCGGGACCTGGTGGGTGAAAATGTAACCGTAATAATAATTATAATACAGGTTGTACCTCTCTAGTCCGGCAACCTCGGGACCTGACCGGTGCCGGACCATGGAAATTCACCCTTTTCCTGGATAGATAGTGACTTGTGCTTTTGCTTGGAAGCACTAGCACCACTTTCTCTGCATCATGGTCTCTTTGAAGACATATTGAAGGGTTAAATGTCGTATAGTAGCTTCTCAAATATCGCGAGTTTTTAATTCTTAACGTATTTTATTGGAACACACAAAAAATAAATAAATAAAAATTTTGACGGCAGAAACTTGAATTTCGACGGGTTTGAACGGCCCGCCAACGTGCAGACGAAGTGCATAATCGTGTAAACAGCGTCATTTCTCTTATGTACAAAAGATTCATTATTGTTTATTACTGAATGTCATTTTTATTGGATTAATTTTTATGTGTGCAAAATGAGCAATACAATTCATTAATAATACGTAGAATATTAAAACACACGAGGAAATGACACAGCATTGTTTTCGTTGATTACAAAACCAGTGACTGACTGGTTCTACATATAAAACTGAAGAAAATAAGACCTTGGTTGTAGCTGTAGTAAAATTAATATGGTTGTTTTAAGTAATGTTATTTAATGTTAATAAATGGAACAATAGAAGTAGCTAACGATAATGGTAAAGAAAAAAGAGAGATCGCGTATGTAAGTGCGCATGCGCACACGTGAAAACATATCGTCATTACTTTACATAAGAATATGAAAGCAACACTTATTTACTGTTCATATATATTTTAATTAATGTTTCTGAATTTGTTTTTATTGAATTAATGTATGTGTGTGCAAAATTAACAATACAATTTATTAATAATACGTGGAATATTAGAGGAGACGAGACGGCTGCCGGCATTGTTTATGTTAAAGCTTACGAAACCAGTGACTGATTGGTTCTACATATAAAACTGAAGAAAATAAGACCCTGATTTTAGCTGTAGTAAAATTAATGTAAAAAAATAATATGGTTGCTTGAAGTACCTGTAATGTTATTTAATGTTAATAAATGGAACAATATAAGTAGCTAACCATTAATGGTAAAAAAAAAAGTGAGACTGCTCGTATGTAAGTGCGCACATGTGAAAACATATCGTCATTACTCTACATAAGAATATGAAAGCAACACTTATTTACTGCTCATATATATTGAAGGGTTAAATGTTGTACTCTGTATAGACAAGCAGAGAGAGAGAGAGAGAGAGAGCAGCCGAACTGCCGGATGTAAACAAACCTTAATTTCCCGCGGCTTTTTTTTTTAAGGGGATTAGCCCACCCGGGCATAGGTCACTGACCCACATTGGGGCCTGAGGGGCAAAAATTTAATACTCCTGTAATAATAATAATAATTCAGATAAGTAAAAAAAAAAGAAAAAAAGCTGCCTATCTACCTATTGGACAAACTAAAATCGTTCCGGACCACAGAATGCGGGACTAGAGAGATACAACCTGTAGTAATAATTATTCATAGTAAATAAGATTTTTAATTAAAATGCTATACACCAAAATAAATAATAATAATAATAACAATAATAATAATAATAATAATAATAATAACAATAATAAAATTAATAATAATAATAACAATAATACTGTAATAAAATAATAATAATAATAATAAAGAAATACAAGAATGAAAAAAAGATCAAAAGTGAGAAATGCGACCTAGACCTATGAATTATTATTATTATTATATATTATTATATCCCTCCAGGCCCCCGATGTGGGTCAGTGATCCTTACCTAGGTGAGTAAAAAAAAAAAAAAAAAAAAAAAAAAAAAAATTGCTAAAAACTGACCATTCTGAAAACCGAAAAATTCCAAAATTCGAAATGCCTCTGGAAGGATTTTAGATAAGGTTAATCAACCTGTATTATTTTATTTGTATTTGTATTAATTTTACTATTAATTTCATTAAATGTTGTAATAATATATTAATAATAATAATTATTAATAAAATATTATATAATAATAATAATAATAATAATAATATTATGTGTATATTATTATTATTTATTATTACATTTACTTCAGCCTGATGTGGGTCAGTGACCTGTGCCCGGGTGGGCTAATCCCCGTGTAAAAAGAGAAAAGAAAAAAGGTAAGCCAGGAAAAACTCATCAACACAGAGGCTGAACTACACTATGTGAAATCAGATGCTACCTTGACAGAGGGTGGGTGGTGTTGGCTCTGGGATGGATTGGTTTTAACCAATGGTTAAAACCAGGTTTTTTAATAAACTAAAATCAATGTGTTTTTTTTCCATTAACTTTCCATAACAATATGTTTTCTCTACCCTGCATGTGTATATCCAAGGTTCTGTTTTTTGTTAACTTGAAACGTTTGCAATATAAAGTATGGTCATGTCTTACTACCGCATAGTCCAACTATTTATGAAATTTTTATTATTACTATTTTATCATCAAATTTCCTTTTGAACCACCCAAAGCTTTTACAAGTAGTGGAGTACAGTTTTTTCTCGATTTACCGCACTAATTCGAGCCACCCCCGTTCGTTAAATCAAAATTTCCGCTTAATCGAGCTTTCCACCGTTCAGTCAGTGTCCTGCCGCCACCACATGTGTTCTTCACTGCTACCTCTCGGTCAACTTACTACACTGGAACACCTTAGCTTTCGCCTTTATTCAAGACATCTTGAGAGGCAACTGAATTTACAGAGATGGAATGTTAGGTCACTCCTTCTTGGGTGGGGGATTAGTGAGTCTCATGACATGAAGAAGTCTTGAATAAAGACAAAAGCTTAAGTATTTTGAGGGGAGACCTGATCTGACCTGATGCAATGTCAGGTGGAGGTAGGGTGGGGGATTAGTGGTCTCATATTACTGACCGTCTGATGGAATGTCAGGTCACCCTTTCTTGGGTGGGTATTAGTGGGTATCATGACCTGAAGATGCCTTGAATAAAGACAAAGCTAAAGTATTTCTAGGGAGATTGTGATAAGTATAATTACATATGAGCAATGATGTATCCTTTCAACATTACATTACATAACATTTTAAAATATGGAGTGAGAAGGCAGTCACATGGATGGCTGGAGATGGTGGGAAGTGAAATTTTTTGGGGGTTGAAGGGGGGAGGGTCGAGCAGTCAATTTTCTCCCCCTCCCTTCCTCACTCAAGCGTGGCTAATTGTGATACAGTGATATGCCCGTTAGCCAGAACAGAGCACTTCCGGGGATGAGAGATTTCCGGCTAACCAGACGACTTTCTCAAACCTGGAAAAATTCCTTATCCCTGGAATATTTTCCGGTTATTGGGAAATGTTTCTGAGTGTCTAAACTAGACATCTTGCACAGACAGACGCTAGCCCACTTTCCCAGAATGTTTCTGGGAACTGGGATGTTTTCCTTGAGTCTAAACAACTGGAGTCCATAAATACAGTTCTAATTAAGTTAGAAACTCCATTTCTTTACTATAATAATCCAGAATAGTTTATCTAAAAGTTTGGTGAAATAAATATATTTGAAAATTAAAAATCTATATGATACGGGCAAGGATGAAGCTGTGTGTTACAGCAAAGACTGGTATTTTCCACTCCCATGGAGCTGTGAGGGATTAGTGGTCTCATATTACTGATCTGATGATGAAATGTCAGGTCACCCTTTCTTGGCCGGGGGATTAGTGGGTCTCATGACTTGAAGATGTCTTGAATAAACATGAAACCTAAAGTATTTTTAGAGAGATTGTGATAAGTATAAGCATAACTGGAGTGAGAAAGCAGAAAGGTGTGGGTGATTAGAGAGATGGAGTGGAAATGAGTGTTGCCAAGCACTCCTCAACAGCTGATATTTAACTCACAGTCACACACACACAAATTTGTCACAAAATAAGACCTTCATTCCTATGTCTGCTTTTTTTTTTTTTTTTTACGGGGATTAGCCCACCCGGACACAGGTCACTGACCCACATCGGGGCCTGGGGGGCGAAAATAATAATAATAATAATAATAATAATAATAATAATAATAATAATAATAATAATAATAATAATAATAATAATAATGATAATAATAATAATAATAATAATAATAATAATAATAATAATAATAATAATAATAATAATAATAATAATAATAATAATAATAAATAAAATTTATGATAAAACAAACAAAAATAAAATAATAAAATAATGATGATAATTATACAGTAACTGTAATAATGATGATAATTTTAATAATAAAGAACTATAAATACAAAAATGAAAAAAAAACATCAAAAGTGAGAAACGATATACTGTATGTATGTTGTGTTGTCAATGGTAAGAGAAACAATTGAGACCCTGCAATTGTGTGTAAATGAAGCAGAAAGTCAGATCAGCAACCTGGGACTTGGTCACAATTTTCGTGATGCCATATGGCAGCAGGGTCTACCATTAGACAACAAATTATGCTTCCAATATCTTCCC